ATATGTTAATATTTATATATGGTCATGTTACATGTATTAATTGTATTTTAATATTATTTCTTATTATAACTATTGAATTGTATATATATTTTAAAAATTAATAACTTTGGTATTTTTTATCAATTTTACATATGTAATGTATCAAATTAATCTTCTTTTGATGAACTTCGATTTAACATCCATATTATATGTATAAGAAAATAATTTATCTTTATCTTTATGATAATAATAAAATTATTTTTAATATTAATTAAAAAATAAAATTATTTATCAACTAATATATTTATATTTCAATTAGTTATATGATACTCTCTATGTTTCCTATTAATTGTCGTTGGAGGGTATGATTCTTTTTTTTTATTAATTGTCATTTAGTAGAATTGGGGTTTAGGTGATGAAAATTTACACGCAAAATTCTTTATTGATAACTACAAAATTGAGGAGGAAAGAGAAAATACTACTAATATTTAGGAGAGTTAAGAGAAAATTAACTACTTTCTTCAAACATGTAATTTTGTTATTTTCAACTACAACGACAAGTAATTTAAAACATAGGGAGTATAAGTTATAAAAACTAATATAATATAACACATGTAAGTCATAAGTAACACATATCATTCTAAAATATATAATAATATATTTTTTTTTGTAAAAAAGTAAACTAAATTTAATATACTTTTCTCATTAGTTTTAAAATTTAAGAATAATTTTTTAACAAGAACCCGTGTAATACACGGGTGTTGTATTAGTAATTAAATAATTACAAATATACATTGTAAAATATTTTAAAGTATGACAATTCATTATATAATTAAATATATATTCACGTTTAATAAAAAAAATATAAAGTGTATTTAATATATTTTGATAAACAAATGCGGTTGATGATTCAAACGTACTGTAGTATACTAAAATCAAACTAATAAACTAGTGGTTTTGCTCATTCATCATTCTGATACAAAATTCATCCAATTAGAAATTTTTCATTAATTACCAATTAAAAAAAGGTTGAAGTGGAGGTGTGAGTGAACATCTGTACCGTGTACCATTGTACTTTCATGTCAAACTAGCTGCAATCTAGGTTGTCCTTTTTGACAGAAAAGCTCTACACACACACAAACTCTTTTGTGAAAATAATATAAAAAATTAAAAGATGTGTTCTGTTCTGTCCCAAAATTTTAGGCAACATAAATTTAATTGATTTTTTTTTTTTTGTTGGATCTTTCGATTTTTTTTTTCCGAAATGATAGATAATATTATAAATCAAAATGCACAAATGTGCGAATACACAGCAGCCAACGGCCGAATACACCACAACCAACAGCTAAAAAAGTGGGAGGACAGGTCAGAAGACCGCCTAGAATCCCGGCTAGCAACAGTTAA